GATGTTAATACAGAGTTATTCAAAGTTATAATTGCATGTATTCAAAGTTATAAGTGCACTTATTCAAAGTTATCAGTGTAAATTCAAAGTTATCAGTGTAAGCGCATAAATAAAAAATTATAAAATTACTAAAAAAAAAATTTTTATTTTCAAAAAAAAATTTAGTTATCAAGAAAACATTAAAAATATACCATATTTCCATAAATATACCATATTAACCCTTATAACTTTGAACACGTGCACTTATAACTTTGAATACATGCACTTATAACTTTAAATAACCCTGTAATTGTTAAATTATTATTTAACTATTTATTTGTATTTATATATATTGATTAATTTTGGTTGTAACTTTTAAAATGAAATAATTCTATTGAACGTTTTTCTCAGGTTTATTGCTTGGTTTCGATTTCAACCCAACCTTGAATTTTAAATGTATCTACATCTGAATCTTCCAGTGCTATGCTAGGCAATTGGATAGATGTTTTCAAAGTTCCCTGGAAAAGCTGTCAGCTGAAATCATGGATTTACTCCACAAAAATGCTCTTTTGCCAAGAAAAACACGAAAGTACAATCATAAGGGTTCATACTTGTTTATAAAAAATCTATAAAAATCCATAGCTTTTTTATATTACCTGCAATGTATTCTTTAACTTTATCTACTTCTAACCTACACTTTCTTCTATATCACTACATCCTGATTATCTGCAACTGCATGCTCTATATGCTCGCTCTACATATATTTTTTCAACATTACTTTCTTTTCTTTTTGTCTCATTGTAAATAATGATTTATTAATCTGATCTAATTATTATTTTGATTGCAAAAATTAATCCTAAAAAAATAAATTAAATCGAAAAAAAAACTGGTAAAATAGCAGTATGTCAGACCTCACTCAAAAGTTTTGAGTTTTTTAAACGTCAATAGATCAAAAAACATTTTGTTTATGTTTATTATAACTATTATAATATAATATATATAATAAATTTTATAATATAGTATAATTTGTCATGATAAAATATTATTTTTTTATCTCATATATTATATAATATATAAAATATAAAATATATAATAACTACTATAATGTCTTAAAATTTGTTTATATAGAAAGTGCTGTCACTTTGCTGCCGAACAATGCCATTTAATTTACGGCGAATTTTTTAACAGTGTAATGTTATGTTTGTCATTTATATCTGTGAAGTTCAAAACTTAGGCACAGAGGGATTTATGATGCATTTATGACTTTTGGATCGAGGGGTGCATGATGAATTTATGACTTAAGCATAGAGGGATGCATGATGCATTCATGACTTATGCATAGAGGGATGCATGATATAGATAATTTAGTTACTACTAAGTCAGACTGTCAATACACCTGATGCAAATTTAAATAGACGTTCTGCCAAACCTAATGTAAATTATACGATCTTATTCAAGGCCACTGCAAGAACAATCATTTTGAGCGCGGAACTTTCAGAAGCGAATGGTAGATTTGAACCTTGAACCTTTATATTGTGAACTCTGTTTATTCTATTTTGAAAATCAAAAAAATAGTAGTAAAAATTTGTATTTTTACTATTAGTTAAATACAGGAAAATTTAAAAGCAAAACTTGGTATAATTTTGATTTGAATGTTTTATCGTTTTGGTAGTTTTAGATGTTAGTCATAATTTACTCAAAGAGGCTTACCTCTATCCTTGCCCAGCAACTTCCTAACCTTGTTTGGTCTAGCCTTAACTTTTATGACCTTATTGTGCCGCTAACATCATGGATCGTTAATATTGAAATTCAAAATCCTTCTTACACAAACCATTTTTACTTGTTTTTACTTTTCTTGTCAAAAAATAGATTTTATGAAAGGCTGGGTGGGTTATATAAAGTATGTACACTAGGGTGGTGCTTAAAACAACTTTTTTGAGAAAAACCTGCTGGTACCCCCTAAATGTGTTTTATCTAATACAAAAACACTAGGTTTAAAATTTTTTTGAAATTATTTTTAGGGGTAGCTCAAGGCCCTCAAAAATTTGACGGGTCCCTAATATTTTGAAAAAAAAACTTTTTCTAAAGTATGTCAACCTGGTACTCAAAAGAAGCGATATTATATAAAAACTTCAAAAATAATAATCATTTTACATAAAAAACATGCCTAAAAAAAATTATTCTCAAAAAACCTGAAAATATTGACTTTTTTTATTTTCAGCTTAAAAACAATAGTTTTTATGCATTTATACCTGAAAAAATTATTTTTATAAAAAATTATTTTCATTTTTAAATTTTTTATATAATTTTGCTTATTTTGAGTACCAGGTTGACATACTTTAGAAAAAGTTTTTTTTTCAAAATATTAGGGACCCGTCAAATTTTTGAGGGCCTTGAGCTACCCCTAAAAATATTTTTTGTTCAAAAAAATTTTAAACCTAGTGTTTTTGTATTAGATAAAACACATTTAGGGGGTACCAGCAGGTTTTTCTCAAAAAAGTTGTTTTAAGCACCACCCTAATGTACACAGTATAGAAACTAATTGTAAACCCCCTTTGTCTGTTCCAACTTTTAATTACTCCTCCCTCTTGGCAATTGTACGCATTATTAATCAAAAAAAGGAGACCCCCTTTTAAAAATAAATAAATAACAATAAAAACCAAGTTTCCAGCTTATTCAATATTTTTAAAGTCTTTAGCAACTCCACCTTCAACTTTGCAAGGGTTAGCATTTTTTTTTTTGCTATCATTTTTTGACATATGTCTATTGGCGAGCTAAGCACGTATATACAACTCTCTTTGTTTGTGTGTGTAAACATGGCTTGCAGCTTCAGTTACCAACTTGACGCATCTTTTAACTGACTGTGTATGAGAAGTCCAGTCAGGAACTACCATAGAATAGTTTACTCTTTAATTGAGGCAGCGATAATAGTACAGGTAAGTGGAGGCTCACTATTTAAGTATCATGTTATAACGTCTGACAGCAGTTCAACATAAGGATTTATTTATGGTGTTCTTCTTAATCTGAGACTATTAACTCCAACTTGAGTTAGGTCATCTTCTACTCATTGTATTTTTAGAATTTTATTAACAGCTTCTTTTATTTCTTCTGCATTTTTGCTGCAAAACATGCTTTGTAAATTTGCTTCAGAATGTACATACCATGTTGATAGCCTAATTGTTGGCATAACAATATCTAAAACATCTTTACTCTGTGTTTAAAGTAGTTCTAGTTAATACAAGACATATCTAGGTCCCTCAATCCAACTTGATTTAGCTTTAAAATTAAACCAGTTAGGTATATAAACACTAACTATTAAGTTCACAATTATTCTTAAACTCTCTATGTTTTTACCAGTAAGGCCATGATGAGATTTTAGCAAATTCTGCAAAATCGAAGTGCTGTTGTTAGCAATCTACTGTGACAGACCGGTCCAATTATCAGAACCTGATTGTTAACCTGATAGATAATACTCCAGTCTATATTGATTGACAAATTTGATAAGTTTTGGTCAATGCCTAATAATCTCCTGACTGAGATAAATCAAAAGAGGACCTAAATTTATCTTAACAAAGTTTGTATTAATTTTAATCTCAGTTGCTGAGTCAATCAATTTTCCAAGTGGTCCAGACCATTTATTATAAGATAGTGTTGCACCATCTAAATGTTCAATTAGATGTCTTAACCCTATCAGTGCATAGATTACAAACAATCCAAACTATTCTTTTATTTAATTTTTTTTCTACCCATTGCATAACTCCACCTGTCCAACCAGTATTAACATTTGTACTCTTCCAATGGTTATGAGATGTTGAATTTGATTTTTGCTGCTTAACCAGTCGACCAAGTGATCTTCAATAACTTCAGTTTTTCTTTTACTATTGGTCATATCTGGAACAAAATGAAAAAGATAGTCACCACCAGGATCTTTAACAAAGCCATGTTCTTTTTTAATCAAATAAGGAAAATTTGTTTCATTCACTTCTATAAACTTTTTTGAGTATCTATTCTGCTATAAAAAAAAGAAATGAAACTGGGTTTTTTTTAGGTCTAATTCAAACTAATTGTTTAATTCTTTTGCTAACTTTAGCTGAGCCCTTTTAACCTTATTATGATCTTTAGTGAGATGGCAATCACTTTTCGCTTATAAGCTTTGTTACAAAGCTGTCAACTTTTTTTTGATAAACTGAAGCTCTAAAATCTGTATTTTCTCTCTTACATTTACACTTTATATGAACTTTTCTATACATTCTGAATCATATTTATATTCTGAACAAAGGGTTAGTTTACATTGGTAAAATAAGATGTCCAAAAGATTGTCTGATTTTAAATTCTTTCTTTTTCAGCTTTTTTTTCCACGTCCTATCAACATCAACAGCTGACTTCAATAAACACTTAAGTTTTTGATAAATTGTTTTTTCATGAATTACAACAGGATATGTAAAAAGTGCATTCGCTTTTATCCATTGACCAAGTAAAGTGGGTAACATATCAGTTACTAGCTGATCTACAGTATAGTTTCAACATGTTGCATCCTTTTACTGTATTTATCTTTTCATGCAATAAAACTTTTATATAAAGTCTTTAGTTAACTTTTTAACTCTATATTTTAAAGTAACTCATAACTTAATAGTGGCTACTTGCAACCTTATTAAAAGTAAATTAGAGTTTAAAAAATATATATAAATATATGTCAGTATTTAATAAATAGTAAATGTAAGTATTTTATTTTCTTTGAGTAAAAAGACTTTATATCCAAACTTTTTCTTTTCTTGAAAGTTAAAAAATTAAAAATACTAATCAGTTAGTAACAGCTAGAAATTCCCAATAAGTTAGTAACTATTGTCCAGACAGCTAGAAATTCCCAATAAGTTAGTAACTATTGTCCAGACAGCTAGAAATTCCCAATAAGTTAGTAACTATTGTCCAGACAGCTAGAAATTCCCAATAAGTTAGTAACTATTGTCCAGACAGCTAGTAATAAGAATAATAAAAGAAATATTATTATACTAAATAACTACCTCTCTTTCAGCCCAATTTGCTGAATGAAATAAGGAAGAAGCAGAATCCAGTGGTGTAAGTTCATCTGTGTATGTTTTTACTCGAATTCGCGTGTTATAACGTACAGATAGCAAGTTGTAAACAACCTAAATGTGATATATGACAAAACTAATATATAGGATAATACATTCTTTGAAATATAACTCTTAGTGTTTACTATAAAGACATTTAGATAAATGAAAATCTCTTATCTCGAGAAAAAAAATATTAAAAAGAAGTATCTATGCAAATTTATTTAAAAAGTGAATAAAAAAATTATAAATATGTATTTCAAATAAACGCTTTTCATTGTTTTTTTGTAAGTTTACTATCTATAGTTCTATACTGGTATTTTGACATATTTCCATAATAATTATCTTATAAAAATATGACATTATAGAAGAGTTTTTACAAACAAAATTGCTTTACAACCATTTTGTTTCAACCAATATAAATGATGAGAATAGTTGTGCTGATAATAAGAGTGTTGAAACTACGAGTTTAGAGAAAAGAAATGTTGAGAATAAAATTGCTGAGAATAAAATTGTTGAGAATAAGAATGTTGAGACTACAATTGCGGAGAAAATAAAAATTAAAAATAAAAATGTTAAGTATAAGAGGGTTGAAAATAAGAGTGTTGAGAGAAAAAATTTTGAGAATAAAATTGTCAAGAATAAAAAGTGATGAGATTATATAATTATTTAATCAGACATTTATATATATATATATATATATATATATATATATATATATATATATATATATATATATATATATATATATATATATATATATATATATATATATATATATATTGAAAAGATTTGGGCGTTAAGTTTATCTTACATTTGAATCTCACAAATTGAGAAAATACGGTTGATTCTAGTTATTTTGACTACTCGATATCACAAACTTTTGTGTATCGCGAACTTCAATTCCAGTCCTTTGCACACTTGCTTGAGCCAAAGTCCTCTCAATATCTCAAACTCTTGATATCTCATACTTTTTTCCGGTCCCCTGAGAGTTCGTGATATAGAGAGTCAACTGTATTATGTATGTATATATATACACATAGGCACACACGTCATTTAAAAAATAAAATACTCAAGTATAATGGATCTATGTTTTAAAAAAAATTGATATTGATTTAGATTAAAATACTAGCAATTCTAATTAATTTAATTTTTAATTAAATATAGTAATTTTTATTTGTTGTTTTTTTGCATTTAATAAATTTTGATTTGTAATACTTATTTGTCATTTAATAAAACCTTTTGTTTATTAAATACTTTTGAAGCATTTAACATACAATACACCCAAATGGTCGATGTGGTTAGCTCACAGCCATTCCGATGCAAAGCGCTGTGGTTCAAATCTCAACACTGACACTCTTTTTAAATTTTTTTAATTTTTCTAAAATACAAAAACACTTTTGAAGTTTTATATATATTATATACATAAAATATGCAAAGATATTATAAACTATAAGTAATGAATAGGAGAGAATTTTTAAAAAAACTCAAAATTTTTAAAAAAGCTTAAAATTTTTAAAAACATTAAAACACCCAGAGAAATTTGTTGCCCATATGTCATACCTATGTTATTAATATGCTTAGATAATTAGTCCTAATAAGCTGCAGATGGTTTGAAAAAAAAAATTATGGTCTGAAACTTAATAAAGAAAAAAGATTAATAAGATAGTCCTGCTAGTCCAGAAGGTCCTTTAAATTTTATTTTAGCAATTCAAAGTTTTTTTACATTTATTATTTTGCTATAAATGTATACAGACAGATTGAAAAAATTGTAAATGTATGGGGTGGATTTGAAACCTAGCAAAAAGACACAGATGACAGCGCATTAACTCTATGGAATTTAGGCATGTAATTGAAAAACAATCCATTTTATAAACTCTTATACCAATTGCAATTAATCAACACTTTTCAAGCAGTTTCTCTAAATATGCGCAGATTTACTGCATAGCATCTAATATAACATAATATAAAAAATAAACAAATGTTATATGCAACTGTATTAAACCATCTATAACAAACCATTTTTAAATTTCTATATGTTTTTTTCGCTCTTAAAGCAATTATTTAATCATTTTGCTTTTAAAGCATTATTTAATTCTTATTTTAGCTCAGCACTTAGTATCTTTCTAGCTGTGTTTTCATATCAAAAATTTCTTCTACTTGGATTTTAAAATCAACAATATTTTCTGTACAATCTTCTTTGATTGCTTGATGGAAAAGTTTTAGTAAAAAGTCTTTAGCTAATGATTAAATTGCTGATTTTTTTTGGCTTTACTCCAAAAGTATCTAAAGTAACTGATAATAGAAAACTAGACTTTTTTAAATATTCCGTGAGGTGAATCAAATTAGGATTCCTTATGCTTAAAATTCTTGCTTTTAAAGCTTAATATAAGTTTTTGTTATGCCAAATTCATATAATAATCTTTTATAACAGCTTTTACTGAATTATTTTCAAATTTAGTAGCTAATCTCTTCACCTTGATTATATTCATCAACAGTTAAGCAAAATCTGAAATTGTTAGCTTTCATATCTTTTAATTCAGCCGTAAATTGAGCCTTAATGTCTTAAGCATAATGAATGGCTATTTAATGCCTAATCTTTAAATACTTCTGCTAAACGCTTTTGCCTCCTTTAATTTCACATAACATGTTTGCTTCTTATAATTGTTACAAAGATGTTACAGGTTTTGCTTGAGCAGTTTCGTTTACTTTGCACTTTAAGAAATGCTCTCAAACAGGAGCATTGCTTTTAAATTCTTGGAAAGTCATTTTAAAATTGTTTTTCTAAGTTGTTTGAAATATTATTATGATTCAAAATACAACAGTTTTAAACTATGAGTAGGCTATAATGGTATGTGACATCAACATTATAAAAAGTAATTTTATGTAAAATAAAAAACCGGGAACCGAATATCTGAACAAAATAGATCCAGATCTCAAAAAATTAGTAGCGGGTATTCGGTTCCAGATTTTGGACTCAACTACAACCTAGTTACTAGCTCTGCCTGCAGCGCTTCCAACAGGAGTGCAAAGATTTTGTGTATGTTTACAAAACTTAGAAAATCTAATCATGACATCAAAGGAAATTTTTATGAACTTTGAAGCTCTTTCATATTAACAAGATATCTCTTACCATAAACTTGGATTGAAACATTGGTAGAATTTATGAACTTGATTTTTTTAACTCATCTCACTAATAGACTTTCCTTTTTTATTTAAAAGTTCTGTTAACATGTCATACATTTGTTTTAAGTACCTTTCAGTTTTTATAATTCTTAACTGAAAAATAAATATGTGTATCATCAATGTTCTAACGCTCAGGAAACTAAGTCAGTAATTTCAGTTTTCCTGATTTTGAAGAAATATCAAACGCTGTTTTAAATAATTTCTTTTGTTTTTGCATCATATATTCTGGAAAAACTCATTTATTTAATCTGGAAAAACTGCTTCAAAGTTGAAATTTTATTATTACCTTTCTTTTTGCATAGCCAACACTGTCTTTTGGAGTAGTTTTAAAGGCAAACAACCTAGGATACTGATGCTTGAGTTAAAGTTTTTATTTGAAATGTGAGTCTTATTCTAATTGTTATCTTTATCTTTAAATAAATCTTTGGATGAATACTTTCATAGCCTTCTAATGGTTTTTTTAAATACAACAACTTTTAACATTTTGGGCCAATTTTATGTCCAGGTATTATATCAAACTCCTTAGCAACAGCAAAGTTGATTACTTTGAAAGATTCTAATAAATAATTAAAAGATAAAAAATAAGTTAACTAACTTCTAAATTTTGAATTTAACGGATTGCACAGAAAACTTCCATCATACAACACCTCAAATCTAACCAAGTAGACCCTTTAATGGCGATTGTATAATAGTTTGAATACGAATTACTTTATATCTTAAGTACACAATTTAGTTAACATCTTAACTGAATATAATTTACTTAACATTGTTTGAATATGATTTACTTTAAATAAGTAAACGTAGACTGGAAGTTGTTTCCAAGATATCAAGTTACTCTGGCTATTTGCTAAAGACATTTTCGAATTTTCAACATTTGAAAAAAGGTCTGCAATCCACAAATCTAAATGAACACAATATATTGTATTCATTAAGAGGTGATAATAATGACATTCAAATATAATAGCTTTTCTTACTTAGGTTCTAGAAACATTTAGCCATTAGGTAACTACTTTTTTACATTTCTTTATTTTTTATTGCTCACTTTATCTAATATATTGATTGTATAACCGAATATATTATATATAATTTTAACAAACCTAATATGTTCACAAATAGACTACCAAGCTTTCCCAGGAAAGGCATGCGGTTTTTTGTCTCGTACGACCACGAAAACATTTTTCAAGTTAGAGAGCGTGATCATGGCCGTTTGCGCAAGTTATATTATATGCGTTACTGAAAAATGGTTTTAAATTTAATAACTACATAAGAAATTAAAGTAAACTTAAATAGAAAACAATAATAATAGTTTAAATAATTTGTGTGTTGTTTTTATTTTTGTTTTTTCTTAGTGGTTATCATTATCGGCAACAAAATTCATTAAGTCAGAACTTTTAATACGATACGTTTTCATAAAGTTGTTTGTCACAATTTTATAAGTTACTTTAGTTTTAATATTATTTGAACATCCACTTTATTCTTCTAGATATTTTTCTACTTCAATTAAAATTTGGGAATACTAATGTTGCTTGAACAAAGAATGAATTTTAAAAGTTATAAGTGCGTTATAAAAGTAATAACACTATTATAGTGTTATTACTTTTGTAATGCAGTTAGTGACTAGAGTGTTATTACTTTTGTAATCGTAATTTTTTTTGTTTTATTTTTTATTTTTTCGCTAACAAATTTAAGTTGATTCTTCCCTTAAAAACGAGGAACAAGGTTTTGTATAAACTAAAATTTTGAATACTAGATATTTTTCCAGATTTTGCGTTTTGCATTTGCTTAATTCAACCCTTGTTGTTACATTAAAATTATACAAATAAATTTTACAAACACATTACAATTTGTATTTTTGCTATCCTCTTAAAAAAAATTAAGAAAAGAAAAATCATTTTTTTTATTGTAGACTTCAAACTGTTTTTTTTTTTTTGCTTCGCCTTATCTAATTTTGTTGCTGAATGTAACTCTAAAGAAACAAAAATAAAAACAGTACACAAATTATTTAAATTATTAATTTGTTTTTATTTTTTTCTATTTCAATCTTTTTTAATTTTGTTAGTTTTGTTTTTGAAACTTTTTCAGCATTATTATAAAACTTGCAAACGGCCGTGTTCACGTTTTCTAAAATATTATAATCGCGTGTGGTCATACGAGACGAAAAACTGCACGCCTTTCCTGGGAAGGCTTGGACTACCTTTTTTTTTTTTTTTTTTTTTTTTTTTTTTTTTTTTTTGTTAATTCACCTCCTTAAGACCGAGAAGGCCACTACAGATGAAGAGGCTACTTATTTGTGGTTATATAACCCACTCTCAACTCTATAACTCTGAAACACGAACCTTGACAAACAAGGCCGCTGCGCGGAGAAATGAGTTGAGTGCGGTACTACCAGGGACGTGGTGGGGATTAAATATAACCATACAAACTGACCATTAAATAAAAATTCAACAATTCATTTTAAAAGCTGAAACTTTAATAAACATAGATAGGTATCTGACTTAATGAAAATACCGTAAATTTTTTTTTATGAAAATCCCGGAAAATTATTTTATTAAAAATTTATCGTATTAACTAAAAACAAATACTTTCGTAAACTTTTAACACGAAATTTAGATTATTTAACATTTTACAAAAAGGAATTTCTAATATTCGAAAAAGTTAATTTGAATAAATTAAAAAACAAAAAAAGAATTGTTATGAAAATTGATCTTGTGAAAATTTTAACTGTAGAAAACATATTTGTTTAAATGCAAAAGTTGTCGTTTTTATGTAATTATGTAATTTTATGTAAAAATTCATAATTTTTTTTAAACAAATTAATAAAAAAAATATCCGGAAATTTCTGGAAAATTAAAGGAGTTTTAAGTAAATTTCCAGAATTCCGGGAATTCCTGGAAAAAACTCATCTATGAATACAATTACAACAATAAACATGTAAAAAAAACCTCTGCCTTGCTAATTCTATATTTTGCAGAAAATTGTCCACAACAAAGACCATATATGGTACTAACTGCTATAAGTGTCTCAGTCAGGCCACTCAGCAACCAAAAAAACAGAATATATGCAATTGGATAAGTCAACCTTAATATCTGAGACAACTTAAATACACTGGTTTCAAACAGTAATTTAATGATGCAAGATTAAACCTAATTTGATAGAACAATAAAATTGGAAATGGAGCACTTAAATCAGTTAATTAAAATACAAACCAAGATTAACCACGTGTTGTTTATTAATTAAACTTGGATACGTACTATTATGTACTACTAATCCAAGTTAAACAAGTACCCTTAGATTAATAGTACAATAGAATTCTACTTGCACAAAATGAAAGACCTCTAAATAGAGTGTTTGGATACCACACAAACTGAAAGCTAGGCCAAGCAAAAACATGTGTTTCCTTGGCCTAGTATATACAAATTGTGTTTGCCATTGTATTTGCACCATGATATACAAAAATTAATCTATAAAAATCATAAATATAAAGAAAAACATTTTTTTTTAACTTTAAAATAATTACCTCAAACCGATATGGCTTTGATGGCCAATCAACTGCTGTTATATCCATTAACTGTTTGAACTGTGCATTAGTATGATCGCGAAGAAACGTTAAAATAGGTATTATACCATCTGGAGATATAAGAACCTGAAGTTCATCACCTTCAGTAACTTCAGCGCTCTGAACAAACTTAGGCATTGAGTCAGAAACAAATTGTCCAAATTCCATAAGCCTTGTTGTTGTTGGACTATCTAGAATCAGAGCATAATAAAGTATAAAATTAGTATAAAAACAAAAAAACAAATGCAACAAATATAAATAGATGTAATGTATTGGTATTTAACTTCAACAAAAAAAAATTCAAAAAAAGATTTTTGATTGTTAATGATACCACAAAAAACTCGGATAGATTTACTTTATTAGATTTAAGTCTATGAGTTGATCTAAGATTTGGATGTGATAGTAATATAAAATTTTTTGTGATAATGAATAAGTCTCTGACTAAATACGTCTCTAAATGATACCAGTTGTTAAAAACAGAAAAAGAAAACATTAAAATCATAAATTTAAATTAAATTGTATTAATTTTTTATACATAATACAGTAATTATAACTTACAATATTTTGTAAATTACAAGTAATTTTGTACATTTACTTAGTAAAAGTTACAATGTATAAATTTTTATTAAGTATACTTATTATCACTCTTTTAAAGTAATTTTAGGCAGATCTAAAACAGATATTTATAAATTATAAATATCTTTTTTTGTCTTTATTAAAAGAATAAAAATAATTATTAAAGTTGTTGGGTTAACTTTGGAAAAAAATCGGGATAATTAGGGTAGAAAAAATATTAATTTTGAACTTTGAGTTCTTAATAAAAAATGACAGTGGGCTTTAGTCAAAAAAGAATTAAAATTCCCTGAATTTCTCTCTAATGTAGTCTCCAACTCTCAGCAGAGACTAGGCTCTTGAACACCAGAGACCAGGAAAAAAAACAATTCAAAACTGGAGGGCAGTTTTGAATTGTTTTTTTTTTGAATTGATGATTGAAGAAAAATATTTAAAACTTTGTATTAATCTAGCATTAATTATAAAAATTAAAACATACAGTGTTTAAAACAATTTATTTTCTCTCTGTTTTAAACAAATAAGTTATTCTCACCCTGTTTAAAACAAATAAGTTGTTCATCCTCACCCTGTTTAGGAAGTATGCAAAATACTATAGTAATATATTTACATTTGATCAAATACAAATATGTTAATTCTAGATTTCTTACATTCAAATTAAAACATATAATCAGTTTTCTAAATACCATTAAAAATTCAAATTTTTGTATTTTAAGTGAAGAAAAAATACAAAGATTTTCAATAAATATTTTTTATTTTTTAAAAAGAAATGATCAAACTTACTAAAGTTTTTTTTGCTAAACATAAAATAAACATATATATAGTCACATTTTTTATATTATATATTTATGCATAAAGATACAGATTATTTTACAGCAATTAGTATTGTGTAGATGAAACTTTTTGTGATATATTTAAAGTTATTAACTATTTGCGTTATTATGTACATTGCAAAGTGGGGCAGAATTGCTTCAAAACTGGACATTTGACAAAAAGGCTTTATGAAACATTTTTTTATGGTAATGTATAAAGTCTCTGATAATGTATAGTCTTTGATCCATCTTATCCTCTTGTTTTTTTTTAGGGTAGGACTGGTCATTAACCCTATAAAACCCATAATCTAACTTATTTCTTTTATTATTTAGTTATTAGTATAAATTTGTTATTAGTGTTAAAGTTAAAGTTTGTTAAAAGTTACAAACTTTTTTCAGATTTTCTTCTGAAAAAAGGTCAGAACTTTTGATGAAAAAATAATTTTAAAGTACTTAAAATATATATTACTAGGTCTTTAAAAAAAGTGCATTTAAAATATTTCATTTATCTTTATTTTTTCAAACAAAGAGCTTTTTGTTTATGTCTTTACTTAGATACAGTTTTAAAATGTTTTTTTATGAAAATGTTGGTGATTACAGATTGTAAAACCTTTTTTTTGTTGTTGCACTTATTGAGCCCTTATTAGTGTATTAGTGGAAATGTGTCAATTACATCAGTAGAAACCAGGTCATGAACCATGTACTAATGATGTTTTTTTTTTCCCTAAGACTAACAAGCGCCCTTAAAATAATCATTTAAATTAAAAATCCAAATCAAAAAATTACTTTGGTCCAGTTTTAAAGCTATTCTGACTTACTGTGCATAGGGCAAACCCCAGTAAAAACATTTAATTTTTCATATAATCCTTAATCTCAGATTTTGCTTATTTTTACACCATTCAAAGATTTTAATTAATTACAAAGATCATAAAATTTTTATCATCTAATTCCAATCGGCTTCAAAGATTACTGTTTTAACTTAGTCTAGAACCAACAAAAATCTGCCATTTTTAAATATTTTGTTTCTATTCAGTGCCTAATGGAAACATGAGCTGAAAAATATGCAGCCTAACATTTTAAGGCAGAGTCTAATAAAACAACTAAAAAAATTTTAAAATGAACATAACACCTAAAAACTAGACCTTTATCACAGTTTTACTAGAGCAAGTTTAATTACCAGAATGTCGATGTAGTTCAATTTATTTTTTAGATGTAATTCTGAATAGTTTAGTTATTATCAAGCTATCAAGTTAAAAGTGGTCTTTTATAAAACAAAACAAAAAAAAAGGTCAAATCTACATAAGAAAAAAATGGTCTCAAGTTGATAGTAAAGCGACTGAAACAGTTTTAATCATATCAAATTGTTACTTAAATTATTATTAACTTGCTGCTTCTGTTTCCACGATAGTTTTATAAAATTTGATCCTAGTTTCAAAAATTCATTATAACATGACTTTAAAATTAGGAATGAGGGTCAAACTATAAAAAAAAAGAGATGTGGAGCAATTTATTTTTCCAGAAGTTGTTTAAAAGAATTTATTTACAATTATCGCAATGAATTGAATTGTGCTCTTTTATGATACAAAAGTAAAAAAAATAGTCAAATATAATTTATTACTTATTACTTATAAAATATGAATTTTACATTTAAAAAACTAAAACAAATAAACTAGAAGATATAATAAATTCATTGTAACCTAAACTATTTTAAGCACCTTGAGTTTTGCGCTTTGCAATTAATACAAAATAGGTTGATTTAATGTGTGAAAAAAAAAATAGTTCTTTATATTTTAATGTAACAGCCTTAGTAATTTTGTGAGTAATAAAATTTCTATAAAAACAAAAGTAAAATTAGAACCCACACTAATACATCATTTTGGATGCACACTACAATTTAAAATTCTTTTTTTTTTAAGTTAGGGGTGTTTACTTTTATAACAAATATAAAGTTTATGAGGGTTGCACAGTAATAATCTTTTCTGCAATGTCCTTTTTTATTTTATGTTTCTGTAACTCCATATTATTATCCAAATAACGCAATATATATAATATATATATATATATATATATATATATATATATATATATAATATAATAACATAATATGCATAAAGAAAAAGTTATAACAATAACAGTAGGTAATACTGAACAATCTTTTTACACAATCTCAGCAGAATCTGGATCGAGTAAAAAAAAAATTTGAACTAAAAAAATTTTCAAATTATAAAAGGTTGACTTTTTACAAAGACATTTTACAGTAACAATATTTAATCAAATTATGTTATATACACTTATATCATATATTTAATAAAATTCCCTTTATTTTTTAAGATTCAAAGAACTTATGCTAAAATTATATCCATAATAAAGTACTGGAGTTTGGGATAAAATTTGGGAGTAGTTGGGCCAAAGCTGTTGAGTATCCACTGAGAGAGACAAAAATAATTGATGCAGTGGCATTTTGTTGCCATAAATCTGACATATTAGCCACTGTAATTGTCTTTCTACTTCTTTCCTTATCAATTTGATAACACTATTGGATCATCTGGTGTTGATATTTGTGTTATTGCATTTAATTAAGAGGTGATCGGGGGCCTATCCCCGACTAAAAATCAGACTTTTTGCATACCCAGCCCCAGCCTTAGCAAAACTATAAGATTTAGCAGGGATTGATAGCTTGGGTTAGAAAAAAATTTATATTACTTAATATATTACAATTTTAAACTTACATTTACTATTTATTAAATACCGGCATATATTTATATATTTTTAATTCCAACAAGATTACAGATAGAGAAGTTAAAATACTAGGAACTAGTTAACTGAAGACTGTATGTAGTATAAAAAAAACACTAGATTAATAAAAGTTTTTATAGCATGAGGGACAGATACAGTAAGAGGATGCACCTGTAAATAAGAAGCCTAGCAAGAATGAGTTTTGGTTTATCGTTATAGAGATGACAGCTCGTTTGAGCATTGATCAATAATAACAGTATTTGTAGAAAAAACAAAGAAATACAACCTTACAACAATAGGAGAGTGGCTTAAGCTTGGCAGATAAAGCAGGTCTAATTACATTCACAATATGCTTTTAGACTTTGTCCCAGAGGAAGATGGTTATTATTCATCAATATAGGAATGCTAACAATATTGCAAGTAAATTTTTTGCAGTAAATAAATGAGTCTCTTTGTCTAGCAATAACTGAATTTTAAGTCCAGAAGTTAAGTCCAGAAGTTAAGTCCAGAATTTTACAGAATTTTAAGTCCAGAATTTAAATCCATAGGCCACTGCAAGCCTTAGGCTGTTAATGAAGAAAGATCAGATTAAAAATATACTGCTTGTTCTAATCAATCAAAAGGTGAAGATTTTTTGTCAAGACAAGAGTATGAAGTTGAGTTGTTAGCAAATAGAGCCACTTGAGATGTAAAATTTTCATAAAGGTCATTATTGTAAATAAGAAACAATACAAGAGCAAAAATAGAACCTGTGGTACCATTAAAGTTACTTGAAATAAAGAAGAATGTAGGCCTTCAAGAATAACTTTAATACTGCCGTTAGAAAGAAATAATTTAATAGTTTTAAAACCTTTATATAAAAGTTTAGCAAAAACTGGAGAGTTCTGGAGAACACTTTTTAAAGACTATAATGGAAGTCTTGTCTGGAGCACAAATTGTAGAAGTGTTTAATTGAGAATTAACTTTAGATATTTAACAATGGATTAATCTGTTTAATGGGCATGAAGAGTATGGCCATTCAATTCAAGAGTCAAATTAAAGTTCTTTGCAAATAACTCTGCCTTATTCCGGGGAGAAGTAAAAAGATCAGACCCATGAATTAGATTAAATGTTAGACTTACCTTAGTTAACAACACTGTTGTCTCAAAAGTCTCTAGAATCTAACATCTGAGATAAGATACAGGAAATGATGTTAAACTCTGTTTTTAAACTCAGAAACAGAGCTTAACATCAGACAGGACTTTTTTACATTGAAATTTTCTTGTAAAAAAAGATGAAAACAATGATTAATGTTTAATAAAGCAACTGGCAAAAAATGTGGAACAGAATGAGGGTTGAAAATTGAAGAGAAGGAATAAAAGCATCCAAACTTTTCTTCCAGAAGTAATAAAAGCTTCAAAGATATGCATACATGTTATGGATATAAACATATATGTTTGCTAATAACATAAATGCTGGCATATAATATCCTTTCATATTTATATAAACTTTAGTATTTACATGGTGTAGTATTTGCCAAAAAAGAAGATGATCAGATGGATGTGAGTGTGACTCTAGCAAGATAAAAAAGGAGGCAAAATCTTAGACAGATCAGAAAAAATTGTTGTATCAATCAATGTTTATTAGAAAAGATTAAAGTGATTTAGGTATCAGCATGTCGATAGAAAGCAGCTTCAGGAGAAAATGGTAGTGGTAGAAGTAAGAAAACTTGAATAGAATGCCATACATATTGTATGAACGATGTTTAATTAAGAAAAGAAAATGCTCTAGGTTGTTTATATTAGAGAAACAGCATTAAAGAGGAAAGATAAAGCCTGTTGATAATGATGATGATGATCATCATCATCATCATCATCATCATCATTATCATCATCATATAACATGAATTTTATATAAAAAATTTAATTTAGAATGCATAAATGTTTATACAGCCCTGGTCACAAATCAGGCCCCGACCCTGGCTACATTTTATGGAACCCGGCCGTGCTCAAATATAGATCCTGGTTGCTTACTACATCAACTACTATCAATTTACTTGATACAATTTTATTTGTGCAGAAGTAATCTATAATGCTTTAATAGATTTTAACTGCTTTCCCAGTAAATGTCGATATAATATCAATGTATGAGGAACAAGGCTGTTTTATTGATGATGTGTTTTGTGGTAATTATTTGACAGTAATTTTTTCTAAATAAGGTGCTCTTTTTCAGGCTCAATAAATTTTTATGTTAGCGTCCATCAAAACAAAGACATCACACAACAGTTAACTTGTCTCTTATTTATGTTATTTCAAATCAATACTTAATTCTCTCATTCTGATCTACCTTATTCTGATTGAAAATATTGGATATATTCTCTACCTTTACTAGTATAAAATCCTGATGTTATGGCTGCAGCTGATCTGTTAGAGAGTCCATGTCTTTTGCATGCTCTTGCCATTGCTGGTATGCATCATCATAGCACTGGTGTATAAAGCCACATGCGAATTTATTAACATCAGCTTTTAGAAACTTTGTCTGATTTTCTCTCATCATCAGTTCCAGAACTCTCACCATTACATATTGAAATATTAGTTTTTTCTTAAAAAAAATATTGCAATTTGTTTATTTTTGTTTTTATATATTCTTTTTCTTTTCTAATTTAGCTTGTTTTTTTTTTTAATTCTTTTTAAATTAAATTATTCTATTCTTAAAAGAAATGTTTTTTTCTAAGTTTTTGATTAAGGGTTATAAATGTCATGCTAAATTTATCTTTTAATTAGAAGTATATTTTTTGCTCACTGGCGACTTAAATCTCTGCATGGAAGCCATGGAAGCCATTATTATTTTGAAGTTATATTTAGTTTGATTTAACCAATGAATAAAAATAAATTTACCTCAAAATAAATTATAACAACCAGTCAAGTTACTACAGCAACTTACAGTTACTCAATTAAATTAAACATACTTAATATACTCAAAGACTCACAAAAATTAGCCATATAAATGTTTCTATTTATATCTTATGTTGTTAACACATAATATAATTACTAAAAACTATTTTAACAAGAAATATTAAATAGAATATAAAAAACGCAATACCATTTTTTTTTTTTTTTATTCAAAGCAACATCAAGATAAAATATTTTCTATAAATATAAAAATATGCAAGTTGTTTTTAGGAATTTTTTTTTAAAAAGAAATCTATTTGAACAAAAGAATTTTGTCTTCTAAAATTCTCTCACTCAAATAATTTTAAATGAAATTTGAAATTGAGAAAAAATTGGAAAAAGTTAAAAGAATTTTAATGTCCAATAAATATAAATTTAATTTAGCAGCATCTTTACCCAGTTCGTAATACCCAGCATAGCAAGAATCGTTGCTGAAAGTTAAACAAATATCTAGCAACAGTAATAATACCAGATTTAGATTTAGCAAGTGAGGAAGAAAATTTTATTTAAATCGTAAACATTTTGAATAGTTCATTATATTTCTATTGCAAACATTAAACCAGCAATTACAAAATTTTTTCTTTTTTGATGTTGTCTCTTCTGTGCCAATAAACATTAAGTGGATTGTTCACTGGTCAATTAAAATTTTTATTCAAGAGTAGTAACTTTACATACTTTACAGCAGTTACAATACTGCAAAGTATATAAGGTTACTAAATTTAAATTTTATGACAATGCAGCAAGTACACTTGTATGCTGCATAATGTCAAAAAATTTAAATTTGCTTTTGTCTCAAAATCATAAAAATTTTGCTTTATACTTCTCCTTACACCTCTTGCCATTATGTTGGATCTTGAATGGCTTTATCATTTTGCTATATTTGTAATGACAATCCTTGATTAGTTATAAAACCCATGTATGTGATATCATCGGAATAGTCTATTTCAACCAAATTTTTTCGATGTTTGCAGAAACTTTTTCTGCTACTTCTTATACAGTAGCGTTTTTGGTATGAAAGTTTGGTTTCAGCTATTGCTTAACCAAAATTAAGAAAAAAGAATAATATTTCATAACATTTTCATAGGTTGGTAAAACAATCTCAGATATCATTTAAATTTTTGACTTGAGCGGTGTTGTAAGCTAAGGGAGGATATATAGAACTACATATTAAAACCATATTATAAAAGAGTGTGGTAAAGAGACTCTATACCACACTCTTTTATAATATGAAATGATAAGTAATTGAGTGGCTAAAAAAGCTAATTAAAGAGTGTAGTAAAAAGTACAGTAAAGTGTGAGGTAAAAAATGTGCCATTGAGTTGCTCAGAATAAACTTATTCTAAAAGTGTGGTAAAGAGTGTGGTAAAATCCTATTTGGTGAAAAATATTTGAAATTTTACCTTAAAAAATTTTTTTTTAAGAATTAAGTATGTTTTCTGTTTAGGGGTTGTTCATAAAGTATTTACGCTTTTTTTCTGACTACCCCCTCCCCTCTGCATTTTACTATATACTTTTTTTGAATAACCTCTACTGCCCTAAAAGTACCTATGCTTCTAACCTATCAACCTTACATTTTAAAATATTTTTTTAAATTTAGTGTTTCCATACTTTTATAATTGATCTACTGCCCCCCCCCCCTCATCTCATGTACGCCATTTTTAAACCCCCTCTTCCTCTCTGAGTGTAGGTACTTTATGGACGAACCCTTACTTAATGGATTTACAAATCGGGATAGAATATATCAAAAATTTCTTAAGAAATATCTTGAAATATATTTTATTTATTAACAATAATAAACAAAATTAAAAAAAAATTACAGAAATAATGCTTTTACAGAAAAAATAAACAACATTCACATTAAAAAATCATTTTAATTATTATAACATTAAAAATCACTTGAAAATATTTATTTTTCTAGGAAATTCAATTTAGAGAAAATAGTAAATAATTGAAGTGTATAGAGTCAATTAGATACACCATTAAAATAATAGATTTTCACATTACCTTGTGTTGAGACAGCAGTGCTTGATAAACGAATTTGTTTATACTTTTGAAGCAGTGCAATCCCCAGGGCTTGCCTTGCAAAGAATGCATCTTTAAAAGTAATATATTAATAATTTAATATTTTAATTTAATTAAAACATAATAAAAAAAAGTAAATTAAAAGAATAAAAAAAAATAACTTTTTTAATAGTCTCTTTATAAAAATACAACAGTAATCTTTTGTTTTGTTTTAATTTTTATATATAAATATTTTAATGAACATTGTGTAGAAACTTCCGTTATATTTTTGCAATGGAAATACACGACTATGAAACTTTTTGATAATTCTTTCAATCATCTTTCAAAATCCAAAAACACCTAGATCCTCAAACAAAGTGTACAAATGACTATAACTATTATTATAAATATTATCACATGTAAATAAAAATTTGCAGGTTTTAAATAGTCCACGCTTAAATTTCAAGTTTGCTTTAAATTAAATTTATGAATTCGCATTCTTTATAATTTGCTTTTATAACTTCTTTCATTTTTATACCTTTATTTGCTCTTTTTGCAATGTTAGAACATATAACTGGGTTTCTAAACGCTTTTGAGGCGCAGAACATAAACCTAGAAGAAAACGCCATCTTATGCAAAGCTGGATACTTGTAAGTCGGAAAATATTTAGTTGAAATTCGTTGATCTCGTTTACTCGACTCTAAAAAATTTGAAGTTTTGATTAGTGAAAATTAGACAAATTCATTTTTAAACAACTAATTAAACTAGTTTGTAATCAAGGAAGTTTAATAAATCAAAGGTTTATTAAACCTCCTTGCTTTTAATAGACAAAATATCACTGATTACAACGCATATTGAAAAAGACCAGACAGTTAACTATAATGTTTAAATAGAGTAAGAATTTAGTTCCTAATATCTTTTTGTTTATTTTTTAGTTTAAATTTATTTTACCGTATAGTATATTTTTATCATAGACTATATATTTCTTTATACATTTTGTTTTGGGTGCATCAAGAAGATCTAACGGTCTTGTTGCTGAGCATCGTGGATAAATCATTCAAGTAAGAAGTTTACGCCTCTTCCTTTACAGGTGAAGAAAATAATGCCCAGATTCATATTGAACCTAAAACTTCTTGCTTCTAAAGCATGCGCTCTTACCAGCTGTTAATAATACATATATTCTGGGATCCCGGTTAAATAGGACATATGATGAAATTTGTCATAAAACACAAACAAAAATTAACAATTACAATGTAATAATGTAATAAACTAAGTCCTGGCAAAAACAATACTAAACATATTTGACGCCTATATATAATTATAATTACTTCGAGACAAAAAACCTTAATAACCAGCACAAGTGCAATATTATACCAACCAATACAAATACAATATACATGTATTTTTTGTTAATTGATGTTGAGAGAATTATAAAGCTCAAATCCAAAATGGATAAAAAACACCTTTTTTATCGTTCTAAATAATAATAAACGATTGTTATTTTATTTAAAATATTTTAAAATACTCTATTTCATAAGCAGCTAATTGTTGAAAAGTTTAACTGAGTTTAAAACGTTTTTATTACACTGGATTTAACTGAGACAGAAAGATATAAAGCTAACTTGTTAAGAGGTGAGTGTAAAATAAACTTCAGAACTCTTGCTGTATTATAAAAATAAACAAAACGACAGAGTTTAAAAAATTATAAAAAGCAAATACAAATACAATTTTTATAAAAATACTCAAACTTAGTTTGAGTATTTTTATTAAAAGCAATTTCAACAAGAAAAATATGTTATAATAATTCAATTAATTAAACTGAAAAGTATTAAATTTGATAACAATTTTTTTTTAATTTTACGTCTCACAAAATCTATTTATCTTTGCAATCTAAGAAATCCTTCATGTAAGTTTCATGAGTTTTATGTTTTATTTGCATACTAAAGCAATCGAATCTGTTGAAATTTGAATTTGCAAAGCATATTTTACAGTCAAACTTTCTAATTCTATTGTTTATTTAAAAGATTGCTCAATCTATTGCAAAAATTGCCTAAAAATGAGGAGGAGTCGCTATTTACAAATTAACATTAAATTTGATCAAGATCAAATTACTCAACAGGTACTGATATTGATATTGTCTGCGTAGACTTATGAAGTTTTGGCTCTCATAATCTCCGTTTAATCACCTGCTATCGCCCACCGTTTTACTCGATAGTTGATGAAGCTTATCTTGAACACAATCAATTCTATGCCATATCTGACTTTGATTATATATAAATTGATTACATAACTCTAAAAAAAGCTAAATTTTGTTTATTTATCTTTTAGTAGAGTGAAACAAAAACACCAAGTTGGCTTCTAGTAACTAAGAAATCAATGGAGTTTTAACAATCACCTTAAAAGTGTTTTTACGAATAATAAGAATTTTTCTCCACTTATTACTAGTTTTGTAAATGATTCACAGGAACGGATCTCCGTAAATAAACTTCAGAACTCTTGCTGTATTATAAAAATAAACAAAACGACAGAGTTTAAAAAATTATAAAAAGCAAATACAAATACAATTTTTATAAAAATACTCAAACTTAGTTTGAGTATTTTTATTAAAAGCAATTTCAACAAGAAAAATATGTTATAATAATTCAATTAATTAAACTGAAAAGTATTAAATTTGATAACAATTTTTTTTTAATTTTACGTCTCACAAAATCTATTTATCTTTGCAATCTAAGAAATCCTTCATGTAAGTTTCATGAGTTTTATGTTTTATTTGCATACTAAAGCAATCGAATCTGTTGAAATTTGAATTTGCAAAGCATATTTTACAGTCAAACTTTCTAATTCTATTGTTTATTTAAAAGATTGCTCAATCTATTGCAAAAATTGCCTAAAAATGAGGAGGAGTCGCTATTTACAAATTAACATTAAATTTGATCAAGATCAAATTACTCAACAGGTACTGATATTGATATTGTCTGCGTAGACTTATGAAGTTTTGGCTCTCATAATCTCCGTTTAATCACCTGCTATCGCCCACCGTTTTACTCGATAGTTGATGAAGCTTATCTTGAACACAATCAATTCTATGCCATATCTGACTTTGATTATATATAAATTGATTACATAACTCTAAAAAAAGCTAAATTTTGTTTATTTATCTTTTAGTAGAGTGAAACAAAAACACCAAGTTGGCTTCTAGTAACTAAGAAATCAATGGAGTTTTAACAATCACCTTAAAAGTGTTTTTACGAATAATAAGAATTTTTCTCCACTTATTACTAGTTTTGTAAATGATTCACAGGAACGGATCTCCGTAAATTTTTCACCATAAGGAGAGTAGATATCATTAACGTAAATTAAACCCATCACATTTCATGGTTCTGATGGTTACCTGATGATATACCTCATGGCTTAGATGCTCTGCAATATGTTTGTTAATAATTCCGTCATGAGTTACGGAAATACTCTGTAAATTTCGCATATTACAAAGCATTTAAATCAAGAGTTAGATGCTCCGTAATATATAAACTAATAATTCATTCCTTAACGCAACCACAAGTGCATGTCAGTAAGATGGATTTATAACTATTTTGATCAGAAGTAGCTTCTTTTTTAAAAATTGAAAAAATAAAAGCTTTCTGTCATTGAGATTGTAAAGAACACAACTTGAAGCCTGCAGGGCCGTCCAGAAGATATCTTAATTTCTTCAAATTAACACACGGCTTCCTCATAAAACGTTCAACGTGTACAAATCTTTTAGAATTTGAAAATCATTAATATCCGCTAGATATCAACAAGTTAAAGTTAGAAGTTTCCTATCAAACCCATTTCGCATGGTGTTCCACTGGGTAGCGTATTAAAACTTACTTTGTTTTAACATACTTTTTTCTTAAACACCGCGACCTTTTCTGTCTTATAACCTGCATTTTTGTTGAAGTATTGTCTACTAAAACTACTTTTATACTGTTCAAAGAGTTAGCTATTTAGGAGCTTTATCTTTATATTTCATACTTTATCTCTTCTTATTTTTTTGTTGATAAAACGCTTAAATTAATTATGATGCGTCTTTTCTATCGGCGTCCTCTTTCAATTATTATATAATTTTTTAAATTTCAATTATTATGTAACTTTTTTTAACTATTGGTTAACTTTTAGCTTGATTGTTTATTAACTTGTTTCCATACTTCCAATACTTGTTTACATACTTTTTTGGTGTGTTTTTTTTTTTAACTTTCTTGTTGTTTTTTATTTCACTATCCGTCCTAATATTGTTTCTTCTTTTCCTACTTTCCAACTTTCTTGAACTACCTTTAGAACATCACTTAACTTGTTTTTAAATGCACTTTCTAATTTAAGACAATTATAATTTCCTTATTTAATAACTTTCTAAGTCTTTTTTTGAGGTAATATTTTTGAATAATAATTGTGTCTTGAGTAAATTCTATACTTTTTTGTAAATCTTTAATTTATGTTTAGTTTTTAAAACTGCATTAGCTAAATATTTTTTATAATTTTGTCAATTTAAATATTTTTATCTTTAATTGTTATTGCCTTAACATAAATCAGCTTACACAGTGTTGCAAACAATATTTAGAGTAACTCGTTTGTTTTTATATTGATTCTCAATAGTACCTATTTTCACATCTGCATTATTACATCCTGCAACAAATGCTCAATATTATGTCAAGTGATTGTATTTTTTTTGCCCTCACAATTATTTTAAATAATTCACCTCCTTCCTCTGGTGGGTCTGTTTTACTAGTTTTACTAAAGTAGGTTAAAAGATCTAATAAAAGTCGACTCTGGCTCTGGCGTACCGAAATGAGTTTGTAACAGGCTGTAAATAGATATATTTTCTTGCATAATAAAACGCTTTCCTTTGATGGTTACACACCTAGATAGTATAAAGTGGCAATAGTAATTTCAAAGATTGAATTAATACTTTATTACATTTTACTAGAATAGTAAGACCTAACAATCCAATCTTTATATAAAGTATTTATGTTTTATTACATTTAAATAGAATATTTTTTATGGCAACAGTATTCCATACAAGGCCGGATTTGAGATTTAAAGAGATAGAGAATAGAATCCAGAGTAAGAAAGTGTTGAGCTCGATAAAGAGATGCAACTGTAGCAGATGCTAATTTTGAAACGGATTTGATATATCGTTTCCAAGAAAGGTCAGAAGTAAGAGTTAATCCTAGAAGATGAAGGTTAGATGACTCATCGAGTATATAGCAAGATCTAAATTATTGCGATAACGGTTGGCTAAATAAAATTTTTTATTCAGCCAACCGTTATTGCAAGTTTTATCTAAATTAAAGTACACCAGCCACTGTGAACCCCATGCTGTAGCAGAAGAGAGATTCTTTTTAAGGTCAAATGCCCACTCGAAGCATCCAGAGAGTGTTGGCTTCTTATCATGATAAGAATAAATAGTAGTATCATCAGCGAACAATGCTATCTTAGATGTGTGAATATCTGGAAGAGCTAAGGATTGAACCTTGAGGAACCCCTGAAGTTACAGAATAAGAAGAAGAGTGCTGTCCATCAAGAACAACTTTTATATTAGAATTAGAAAGGATTCAATAATCTTAAAGATGTTACCATATACACCGTAAGAACAAAGCTTATGGAGAAGACCATTGTGCTAAACTTTATCAAAAGCTTTAGAAATGTCATGAGCGATGGC